ACGTCCACAAGTGGCATGTTTGGCGCAACACAAGATTATGGAGTTGGGTTGGGAAGTTCTCACCCACTCACCATATTCTCCAGGAATGGCACCATCAGATTACCATATTTTTCGGTCACTGCAACACCATCTTAATGGGAAAACGTATGCAAATATGGAAGGCATTAAAGAGGACATCAACATGTTTTTTGCTTCAAAGCCAAGTGATTTCTGATGCGTTTCCATCTTACAATAAGGTTGTAATGATCGATAAGAATGGAGACTATTTCATTTAATAAATGTTTGTGTTTTGATATACAAGTTGTTCGGGTTTTTTCATCTAAAAAAAGCAACATTAATTTCTTGACGACCTAATATATGACTCTGCCCATTGCGGGTATCGAAAACCCGATTTCTTCAAACTTACGTCTGAGCCACCAGAGGGCAAGAAACAACAAAGAAACAGCACTATATGATTAAAGTTATACACTAAATTTTCAAAGTATAAAGATATCTATATATATCAGTACATCTGCGAACAAATAAAATTATTTCAAGTAAGCAGTTACGAATGGGCATTGATGGTAAATGAGAGCTGTAGTGCATGATCAGAGTGATGGATCATCATATATCGTTTAGCAATGAATAACACGTAGAAGAAAGTAAGAAGCACCTCAGGAGATGCACTGCAGTTAAAGTAATAATTCTTCCCTTTAAACAGATCAATTATAAAAATGAAGCTCCCAAAATAATTCGTGAAACGTGATTAAGCCCCTCCCCCTCAACATCCAATCCTTTTTTTTCTTCTTCAAAAAAATTAGAACAAATCTGTAAAACCAAACTGTTACACCACAAACATAAGCCCGTGACCACTGTACAAAATTTAGAAAGAGTAAGAGCTAGTAAGAGTCAAATTGACCCTATTCATATGCCCTATAGAGAGAGAGAGGGAGGAGAAATCTTCTTGCGTCTTCTCGCATAAATCCGACTATGTCCAACAAAAAGTCTTAACTGGTTATAGTTTTCCATTTGTTTTCTCTTAATTAAAACCACAAGTCATTAATAGAAAGTGAACATTATGACGAAGTTAAAAAGCATCTCAGAAAATGCACTATAGCGTATGTGTGTGTATTTATCGCATAGCTATATCGGGCTATCTGCACTATAGTAAAAGTAATAACTCTTCCCCGTTACAAAAGGTAACAGTCCAATTTATTATAAAACGCGTTTTTCAATTCAAATCATCGGTGTTTCGAAGCGTATAACAAGAAAAACGTGGTCGCAAATCAGAAACTACCGGAGTAAATCTTGTCACAATTTAGATACCCATTTCAAAGGGTGGTAAGTCAACGTTGGTAATGCATCCAAATTAAAAAGAAAAAAAAGCAGAAAATTGTATGACCATTATTTCATATTTGGTCCTCCTTTGTCTCTTAAGAGATCAATCATATATTAATATATCAGTAAATTCAAAGCCACCAACTTCTCTCAAACTTACCTTTACAGATCACGAACAGTGAGAAGTAACAAGCATTAAAATAAATACAAACTGACTACAACATTGCTAGAAGCATGTAACAAACAAAGGTAGCTATTAGTTGTGGATGAATGAGAAGTAATTATAAATATTTGATAATTCTTATTGACAAAGTTGATCCCCCCCCCCAAAAAAAAAACAGTGAGAGAAAATTGTAGTAAACAGTGGGAAAATAACCCTCTTACAAAAATAAATAAATCAGTATATAAAGTATCGAACTAGCAGTAAGAGATGATTTAATATATTAATAATTTTAAAACGAGTTTAAACACCAATTTTCCATGAGGTTTAATATAAAATTTCAATTCTACTTTACCAATAAGCTATCATACCAATTTTTCCCAAAAAGATGTCTACATTGAATCGGGTGTGTCCAAGCGGGGATTGGAAGATCCAAGA